ATTATAACATAAAATACAAAAAGTAAAGTTTTTTTTTTTTTGTCAAAAAAATTGCACTACCTTTATTAGCACTGTCTTCATCTGATTCCTTTTTAATAGCCCTTTTAATAATCATTTTCTTTGCAACTTCTTCACATTCATCTGATTTTTTTGTACTTAAAGCTGAACCAGCATGTGTTGAAGTTCCAACATTTGCAGAAGCAGCAGCAGCCAACTTCCGTTTAGTTTTGTCTTCAGCGCCATAAGTTCTTGTGCTTGCAGCTCGTTTAGGTAAAACTTTGAGTTCTGTCTCTGTATCGGATGAGGTATCTTCACTTTCTGACCCAGATTGAATTGATACATCTTAAAATAATAATATAAATTATGTATTATAAACAGTTAAAATACTTTAATAGTTAATAAAATTGTAAAATAATGTGATTATTTACAATGCTATATAAATCACACATACAAAAAATCAAAAATTTTGGAAAGTCCAGCACTATATGTACTATATATATACTTCAATTGAACTAATTAATTTTCTTGAAAAAGTAACTAACCAGTATGTGTACTCGCCCTTCGGCGACCTCTGGTCCGACTTTTCACGTCCACTGAAGCTAAAATGAAAAAATTAACATATTTAGATTTTCATAGAACACATGTGTTTTTTTTAACAATAAAAAAGTAGTAATAAGAATAGTAACTTATTTATATATATGTAATATATTTTATAATGGTTTTAATGTTAAGTTGTAATTTTATAACTAGATTTTATAATCTATTATGTTATATTTTTATGTTATAAATTTTTGTTATTAACTTTATTTTATTTTATGTATTTTGTAGTATCATATAGAAGAGTTTAAATATTTGCTAGAAACTTCTAAATTATCTAATTGCATTTATCTAATAATTGCTTGAATTTTTTTTGATTATATATCGTTTAGCGTAATTATCATGTCTATACATAATAACACATATGTGTGTGCATACATATTTGTGGATAAATATAATAAACATGACGTGCTTATACCTGTGTTACTACTGGTTGTATTACCCTCTTGTTGTCTCGTGACCCTTCTGGCTGGAGTAAGTGCGGGGCTTCGAGTTCTGGAAGTTACGGTAGGAGAAACATTTGATTGTGTGCTGGTGGAAGGTACGGTGGTAACAGTAGTGTCTGATGACTTGGATTGCAAAGTAGAAGAACTGGAAATATAACAAAAACTGAATAAAACGATATAAATTACATAAATAAATATTAATCAAGTATATTATTTTGTGGTTCAATTATTACTTCAAATAATTTAAATCATATATACATTTATATAATTATGAAAAAGCAGCAATCGATAGTAATATATATTAATTCAAGCTCTTATGAGATTCATTCATAATAAACAACTAAAGTAAAATTATTTTATAGTAAGGGAGACTTTAATAAATTGTTTTAGACAAGTTCATCAAAAAGTGGTAGAAGAGGCGCTTCTTTTTGTTCAATTTCTTTTATAATAACTTGTACTTGTATACAGATAGATTTGTGTACTTATTTAGCTGTAAGTTAAACATTAGTAGTTAATCACCAGCAATTAGTTTATGCGTAGATAATTTAGCTCAGTTGGTTGTGACAAATTTTGTGAGTACTGTTGTGACATGCATTTTATGTCTTTTTCTTTAATTTACTTTTCTCCCAGCTAACTTGTAAATTCACAAAATTATTGCTTATAAAAAAAGTGGCACAACCGTACCCATTCTTCCCTTCTGCAGCAAAACAATTGATTCTGAAACAATATGTGATGTGATGTATAAAAGTGAATATAAAGTCACTTACGTGCTAGATGTCGTATGTGTAGGAGTCGTATGTCCTGGAGGTCCTCCAGTAGAACTCGTTGAATCCGTTGATGTAGAAGGCGGCCGTAAAGTTAAATTAGCGCCTCCTCTACCTCTTTTTGATGAACTTGTCTAAAGAAATTAAATTGTAAGCGTAACAATCAATTTATGTTCATACAGTTGGAAAACTATAAAAAGAAAATACGATTCCAATACATTCAATGAAATAATTAAAAAAAAGCAGTGAAAGGAATATTTGCCTAAGGCAAATTGCATGAATAATATAAAAAATATTTAAGCTAATTATTCAAGTGTAAATTAATTGAAAAGAATTCAGAAGTTGTGAAAAAAATGTTTTTAATTTTTAATTTCAACAACTTCAATCAGAACTGATTGACTATTTTTTATAATTACATTACTAGTTGCCAAAAAAACAGCCGATTGAATTTACAAGTTTACTATAGTTCACAAGGAAATATAGTCAAAGTACAAAATTTGAATTGATATATGTAAATATTAGTTCAGTAATAGAATTGGCAAATTGAAGAAAGTCTCAATTGAAATTAATAATCAAGTCAAATTAAAATCAAGTTATTTACCTTTCCTGATATAGCTGCTTTCAATCTCTTAGCTTTGGTTCCAGCACTCAAATTTTCGGCAATACGATCGATATTGACCCATTCATCATATCGGGTATTCCACCCAGTATAATGGACTAAGTACGAATCGCCTTCAGCTTCAATAACCTTCGCTTCATAAGTCACCTTAGATTCATGGTAATATACTTTCAATTTGTCACCAACTGATGGTGGAACAATTTTAGATGTACTAGTGGTTGTTGTATTCGTTGTAGGTTCACTTGCTTCTGAGCTGTTGAAAAGTTTTATTGTTTCATAGATTTTAAATTGATTGTGAATATTTGACATGTGAACCAAAAATAAATGTAATACAGACATAATTAAAAAAGATGTTAGTATTTATTTAATGTAATCAAAAACAATTCTTAATAAAAAATTTTTCAATAACTTTTAATGTGACTATTTTATATCACACTTCAAAATTCAATTTATGTTAAATAAAACTATCATCAACTATATAAAATTGCATTAAGTTATTTCCTCTAACAACTACCTTTCAGTTTTATCAGCAGGATCTGTATCACGTCGTTTTCGTCCACGTCGTTTTTCAGTGTCCTGTTCAATTTTTTTAGTTTTCTCTCGCATTTCATTCTTCTGTGTTTTTCTTTCTGGAGTAGCAGTATCTTTTTTAGTTCGGCCCTCATCTTTAGAACGTGACCTCGTATTTTGAATTTCTGGTTCAATTTTATCTAATTCAGGGAATAAATAATAAAAATATGGCCTGTTATAATATAAATTATTTATTAGAATATTTTCTAATTCTGAAAATATGTTATGTACCCAACAAAAATATATCTAAGATAAAAATTATCTGTAATTAAATACAATAATAATATAAAAGTTAAATAATTAAGTTAATTTAAGATAAAGTAAAATTCAATAACAAAATTAGTGTCGTATAAGGTCAGATGTAAAGTTATTTTAATTTTAGAAAAATAAAATACCTTTTCTCTCCTTGTCATCACTATCTGAAGTCTTATCATCCACGATTTTCTCTGACAACCTAGGTCTTCCGGCAGATTTTCTCTTCACTTTATTTTTTTTATCATCGTTTTTACTATCAATAACTTTGGTTTTGATAACCTCTTTATCCTTCGATTTAGATTTTGTATTTGATTTTGAAGAAGAACTTGGTACAGGTTTTGTAATAGGTACTTCTATATCAGAACTACTGTCACAAACAACACTGATACTATCAACTCCCAGTGATTCATCATTGTCAGCTATAATATCAACAATTATGTCAGATTCCTTAACAGTTTTCAATGGTTGTGGAGATGATGCAATTTTCTCAATAAGACTAGAAGACTGAAATAAAGATTATTAAAAAAATCATTTTTATGCAAATCCAAATATGAGGTAACTATACATACTGCAATTATACATTCAATTTTGAAAATGAGTCTTACCTCAATTACTTCAGCGATTGCTTTCTCTATTTTTAAATTGGTTTTGCCATTTTTGCTTAGTTTATCAATAGAAGAAATTCCAGTATATGATTTTATTTCTGATACACTGGGAGATTCAGCTGAAGTTAAATTAATAGATCCCTTATCTAAAATTTGTGAATATTAAATTTATATAATTGAATCAAAGTAAAGATCAAAATAATAAAGTTTTTAACATATATTATGAAATAAAACATAAATAACTATTGGAATATAATAAATATATAAATTAATTTTATTACACCTTTTTAATTTCAGTTAATTTTCTATATTTATTTGACATTGAAAATAGAAACTATTTTCTCAGAATCTGTACTATTTACATATCTGTTTCATACAAGGTTTTCATTTAGTTTCTGTAAAATTAATAAACCACTGTTTCATTTCTGTAGAATTGTAATAAAACTGAAAGAGTAAATTATAGTAATCGCAGAAAAATCGAAAATGAAAGTTTTTGCATATCTTTACGTTCAAGCCGTTTCTGAACATTTTAGCATACATTAGAAAAAATGGGTGTATGTGTGTGTGTGTGTGCGTGCGGATACAAATTTTCGTCGGCGATTTCGGGAACACCGATCAACCGATTCGTATTGATAAGGAGACCGATAACATTCGATTCGTATTGATAAGGAGACGTGCTGATTAGTTTTTGGCGAGGGCAGGCCTAGCCGTTTCGAAGATACGGGGCTAAAAGTGCCAACAACCGTAACTCAGTTTTTAAGAGAATGGAGCGTCCGATTTTAATAATTCAAAAAACATTTTACTTGTATTGACAAGATGAACAACTAATAAAATTTTTGGTAAGGCAGGTCCGGCGGTTATCGACTCTCAATAAAAATAAGTTAAAAAAATATCATTTGACGGTCAAAAATGTTTATTGGACATATGTACATCAAATTATCTGTGTACACATTTTGTGTAATTTTTTTTGGGTTCCGTACCAAGATTTTGTTCCATACCAAGTTCCAGCAATTTGCCTTGAGGCATGATGCCATGCACCCCACTAGTTTTACTATTACTTATATGTATAGTGTCTGAACAAATGTATATAAATAGCTTGTAGACAATTTATATCTTATATATATAAGTAGTTGATTCGAGCAAAAAACTTGCCTTGTGTTGTTGAACCACTAGTGCTCTCTCCAGTTGTGTGGGCAGCACCAGCGCTTGTTGTAGTAGAACTGGTAGTCGTAACGGGTGTAACCGCAGGTGTACTTACTCTAGGAGTGGGTGTGTCGCGCTGCCTAATCAGGCTTCGGCCCTTGCCGATGCGTGCGCCTCTGGGAGTGCTGGCGATCAGCGTGCAGCCCAATTTGCGATAGAACTCCTCGAAACTGTGCAAAAATCTGATAGCAAATACATACATAACGATAAGTCAAAGCGATTCATTGTCTGCTAGCACCCTAACGCGTGTCAGAAAGAGTAGCACAATTATAACAACATTAGATACTAGTAACAATAATAATAATAATAAGCGAGGCCATGCAGATTATTCATCATTGTAAAATCATTAATAATAACAAATAAAACGTGACGACAGACTAAGCTATAATTTACAGTTCAAAAATGTTGAGCAAAGGTATGTTTTTAATTTTATGATGGCCACGATTAACTAATTGTAAGTATCATTTTGCCTTAAGAAAAGTAACATGAACTTCCCGATATGTTTAAATAATCGACTTAATGAATAAGACTAAGGCGATTAAGAGTCAATATATTAATTTATGAGTGAAGGATAAGTATACTGAGCTGCTATAAGGCAACTTATAATGTTAAAAATTATTGCAATTTTCCACACATTTTTTATTACACATTATTTATTAAAAACACACACATTACCTACACGAATATATTTATATTTATTTATTTATGTATATAGATGTATGTTCTAAAAGCGCTGCCGATTAATTAACTTTTTAATTAATTTTTATAATGGTTACGTTAGCAAATCGGATTTTTTCACAAAAACAAACTTTCCGTTTGAGAAGTTAAAATATTATGTTCAAATTTCAAATCAATTCAAAAAATTAAATTTTATAGCACTCAAATAAGGTTTACATTATAAGTTGAATGAAAATAATAAATTGAGAGTTTCTGATCTGATTAACGAATTTAACACACAGGTGACAGTCACATAACAAAACTAAAATTTTAAAAGTGAACATAAAATCTATGAAAATTTTAGAAGCAAACAATCTACAGGAGACAATTACATATTGCTAACATGCAAACTCACTTCTTATATGCTTGCTTGACGAGATTTGTGATGCTCGTTGTGACAGGAGAGAATCCAAGTCTAGTAGAAATTGCACGCCATTGGTTTTGAGATGTAACGCGACTATAACCCCCTAACTTTTCAACAGCCCTGTAAAGTCGATATAAATCTACATCTCGATTTGCGATTGTTGGGCCGCGATTTAAGGGCGTGCCGCGATCATCCATAAATTTATACAATTGAGCGACAAAGTGGTCCTTTTGTTCTATTGGCTCATCATCTGAAGACTATAAAGAAAAAAAGAATTACATTAAGTATTCACAGATCCTACTTTTTAAAACTTACAATGTTTAGAACAAAAGTGAAAAAAGTTTTTATATTGATTCACACTTACAATTCATTGTTAGTAATTTTACCAAACTTGTAGACAAATTTAAAATATAAACTTAAGTATTGATACAATACAACTGTTAAATAATACACATATTGACTTTGTGATATGTTTCGATCTAATAATTTAAAGAAAATTTGTGAGATATTGTCTATTATATCAAAACTAACCTCACTGTCACCTCCATCTTCACTGTCAGAATTTGAACTAGCTGATAATCCAAACAAAGCCTCTCGATCCCAATGAGTGGGCAATTCATCATTATCAAGATATTGCAGAGCAGCCATCACCGCTGGGCCATCTTGACGAGCTGCCAATTCTCGTGTAAATTCTGTGGCTTCTTTTTTGGGAACGGTGTAGCTAAAAGAAAAGGCACATATAATTATTTATTGAAGTTAAATATGCTTCAAAATACTATAACATAGTACAGTTCAAACTTGAATGTGCACAAAAAAATAATGCTTTATGATGATAAATATCTTTCAAATGTAATTTTATTTATAACCAATTAAACAAAGGGAGTAATTATTTAAATATAATAGTAATATGAGCAAAACTTACTATCGGCCATCCTTAAATGATCGCACCAAATACTCATCTCGCACCCGAATTCTAACAGTGTCTTGCGCTGTTGGGGCAACAACCAACCTGGAAACCATGTTTCTTTTGGACTACGTTTTTTAGTGTCTGAAGTTTCAACACACACAACCTAATAAATATTACATAATATAAATAATCATATTAAATAAAATATTAAATCATAGAAATTATTTTTTCATAAATTTTAATCATTTCAATATTATAATACTTATTATTAATTTAATACCTTGCCGATGTGCTCTTCCTTTTCAGTGCTATTTCCATCTTTTGTGCTCAAGCTATCAGCATCGTCATCAGATGAATCATCACTGTAAAAAAAATATATTAGGAACTAATTAATTAATTAATTAAAATCATTAACTAACATTTTTTATATTTAATTTTGTCCAAAAAATACACAAATGTTATATTGAAAGAAATAGAGAGGAATGAACTTTTCTAATAAAGTACATCAATAGATATTATAAAGTTGATTTTTAAGTTCAATTCTGAAATCAAAAAAACTTTTCATTCAGTTTCTTATCAAGGATTGTATAATATATTAAAGCATTAAGAGCAATTAATAAATTCTATACATAAAATAAACTTTATAAGATTTATATTTCTTCTCAAATAATAAATATTTCATATTAATTTAATTAGTCGCCGTATTTCTACTTACACAAGTTGCCTTGATCTCCTTCCTCGACGTCCGCCAATAACAGGATTTCCAAAATGCTCAGGATGAGTTAAAGGTAATTGATCTAAGGTTTCACTTTCATTAAAATGTCGACCGCTTTTCAAACACAAAGCAGATCTTCTCAATGTTGTAATATCCCCATCATCAAACACTATTATGAAATTTTCAGGAAATGTAGTTAAACATTTAATTAGATGCATACTTTAATACTATATTACTATTACACAATTACTATGTTCATTTAATAAGTAATCCTGCACGCAAATTATATCTGATCTAAATTTCTTATAACCACAATTAAGATTACTTCTAACGCATTTTGCATCTATTTCTATTCCTATCTATTAAAAATAATAATTTCAACTAACCAACAGTGTATTGACTGCAGTCTTGAATTTTTGTTATAGTTGCTTCCACATATTCACGCCTGTCTGGGTGCCGAGCTTCAACAATACCTCCAACTCGTAAAATTCCTTTAATTTGTTCATCAGTTACTGTTAATGATCCCAATCCTTGCTTGAAAGTTACCTGAAAAATAGTAAGAAAAGGTAACAAAGCATTATTTGATATTTTGCTAGAAATGTAATACTCAATAAAAATATAATTGAAACATATTAACATAATTAAAAAAATTATATATTTTATACTTCTTTTATTATTTTATGCTATTTTAATACTTCACTTTAAACTGTACTACAAAAGAACTCTTAATAAATTAATTAACACTAGAAAGACGGACGCAGTCATTTTGACTGTTTTCCATTCGTGAAATTTTGTGACTTTTTATACAACATATAAATGCGTAGATAAATCGTATTATTTGACTTATCTCACTTTTATTTTCAATATTCTTACATGTTATGCCTGCATGGACGGTCATTGAAAAACAGTCATTTTGACTGCTATAAAAATTTTACATAAACAAACGGCTTTGTTATTGTATTGCAAATCGCTATCTCGCGTTAATTCATCTCGAATGAGCGATAATGCATTTGTTGCCTAGAAATAACCGAATTATGGTAAGTATTGACATTAGACCGGTCTTTTTCACGTAGTAACTTTCAGTATAACGCGTTCAGTTGATTTTTTAGAACTTATAAATAAAATGTCGAAGAGAAGTGAATTGTTGCAAAAGCTAACACACGTAAGTGAAGAGTGTTCCGACATAGAATAAAATGCAGAAAATTGGGCACAATCATCTGAAGATGAATTGGATTATATTCCACGTGAATCATCTGATTCTGAGGGTAGCGATGAAGGTGATCACTATTGATGAAAATGAAAGTGCCATCAGTGTATGCAGGAGGGTGCTAAGTGGCTCAGAAACTGATGAAAGAATTCAAGAAACGGAAACAGCTGTCGATGGTACTGTATGGACAAAAATTGCCAAAGGTGGTACTCCAGGAAAGTCATCATCTAATTGTGTTTTCAAGGGTGTGAAAGGGCCAACAAGCTATGCAAAAAAGAATATTATTACAGGTGATCTTGTCAGTGCATTTTCGTTGATAATAGATAATTATATTATCAAACACATAAAACAGTGCACAGAAAAAGAGGGCAACCGAATTTTGGAGTACGATTGGACAACATCGTTACCGGAAATACGTGGATTTATTGGAATTTTATATGCTCGTGGGGCCTATGAGGCAAAAAAATTGAAATTGATTTATTTATGGTCAGCAAAGAAGACATGGCAGATCAAAGGTAAAGAAAATATACCGTGAAATCCAGTTACAATCCAGTAGATGACCCCTGCAAATATTTTTCAAAATTTAAGATTTGGCTGCGATAAATGCCTGGATTTTTTACTTTAATCCAAAGAAAACAAATCCTTAGAGAACAGTTTTTGTTTGAATTGGCAGAACAGCTTTCCGCGGACTACACGACATCAACACAAAAAAAATCAAAGGAAAATGATGACCCACAGACATCATGCAAATACGAATAGTAATAAAAGAAAATTTTACCAAATAAGACTTTGTAATAATAATAAAACTAATAATACGTGTGAAAGTTGCAACAAACATGTTTGCGGAAAATGTACTCATAAAAAGATCTTGAATTATATTTGCATGAATTGTAAAAATAATGAACTTCTTTTTCAGATGAACTATTTTTTTATTTTTAGAACTTATAGATAATTTGTATGAATGTAAATAGTACATGAAATAATAAAAATTAATTTTAAACAAATTTCTAAACGCATTATTTATTTTTTTCACGACGCAGTCATTTTGACTGTTATCAGGCAATGTAGGTATATTCAATTCGTCCATCTTTCTAGTGTTAATTAATACAACAAGCCACTTTTAGTTGATGTATATAATTTATGCAATATCATTTATGCAATAAATCAAAGTATTGTAAATAAAATAGAAATACAATAATTATGAGTTGATTATATTAAGAATGCCAAAAGCATTAATATAATAAAAAATATTTAACAGTAAATCTAAATCTATATATGAGAAGTCTATTTTTAGCATAAAAACTTCTTAAAAATTTGAAATGGCTTTAAACGTACAAGTGTAACATGTACTATTTTGAGAAATTTTAATTTATCTTTGGTTTTATTGAACTTGTACCTTAACAATCGTTATGAATTCAAAACATTTTTCATAAAATATAAAACAAAAATAAACATATCATGCAAAATAAAAATTATCATTCTGGAAATATAGGGATTAATAATTATTAATAATAATTGAGTATGCACACCTTGCATTTAATGTTTCTAACCACTTTTCTAACTTTGGCTTCACAAAATGCACCTTTATATTTTGCACTAACTTCTGTACCCACTTGTAAAAAGGGGGGATCATCTCCCTGCTGGAAATATATTATAATTTCAATCATAAGACGAAATCCAAAAATGAAATCAAATATATTACAAACAACTAAATGAGATCTACTGCATAACCCTTTTATATAAATATGTATTAGCTGAGTATTCACCTGCATTTTAAAATAATTATCACTACTTATTTAAATCAACATAAAATTAAACTATTTCACTATTCATGATTATAAAATAAGAACGAAAATTTATTATTTGCTATTGCTTTCATGGCGTATTTTACACAATATGTTTACTAATAAACTTTTTATTTATATTCTATCCATTGTATTGAGTTCATCCATATTTATATGATATTCTACACTATCTCTAAAAAATACAGGCGCTCAAATTAACAGATATCATTATGAAATAGAAGCACAAACACAATAAACAGCCCATGACAGCCATCGGCCATAATATAGAAATGGGTTTGTCAGATGGGGAGAAATGTCAGATGTCAAACAAAAAGCAAATTTATAAAAAGCAATAAAGCGATGGTGAAATATTTGTAAAAATGTAAAAACTCGATACATAATGCATGTTGAATGGATGATTATTTATATTTGTATTTTTATCTTTAGTTTATAATTTGCAACATGCAACTGTATGCATCCATAGCATCCATATCTTTATATTCTATTTATTTATTTCTATTCATTTATTTTTAAATACTTGCAATAAAATTTAATATTTAACTTCTAATTAACTTAATGTATTAACATTATGATTTATAAACGACTATCTTTATTTCTATTACTCTGCTAATGATTTTTTATTTATGAATTAAAATTTAATTTATGTGCAAAAGAATAGTTTAATTACTGTATTTTAATCAAAATTAAATTTAAATAACTTCTTTACCAAATAATTTTTTTTCTAAAATTTAATTTTTTTGAAAAAAAAAATCACGAATCCAACAGTAACATTTTTGCAAACTTCTTCATTCTTGAATTATACCGAATCTGGTAATACTTCATATCAAAGTTTTTGACAAAATGGCGAGTGTGGTATCGCGTCTAGCAAAAAATAATTATCAATTTACTAATTTGCACGTTTAAATTGATTACCATATATTATTTATTAAATGTGATATAAGATCGTTTTTTATCTGTGTAGTTTGAATAGTATGACCTCAAATATGTACAGGGTCGGAGGTACGTAATGTTTTTGTGTACATTCAGAGGATATATTTACGTGCAAATGCTGTTAAGATTCATATATGTATAGTATAGACTCACACATATATATTTATAGCAATGAAAAGAGCCCGTTTCTAGATTTTATGTCAAACCGGTGTAAATATATTGGAATTTTATAAACGAATACACAAAACCGGCTTTATGTAAACAAAACATCATTTCTAACATTTGTTTATGTTTTCAGAATAGTTATGAAACAATTTCATAACAAATCTTTTCTAAACATAAATTAACTGTTTAATTGATTCTTTTGTAGATTATGTGTACTTTGAAAGTTCTTCAACATCACCATATCAAATTCGTCGCATTGAAGAATTAAACAAAACTGCTTCAGGAAATGTTGAAGCAAAAGTTATGTGTTTTTATCGAAGGAGGGATTTGCCAGGGAGTCTTGTGCAACTTGCTGATAAACATCAAGGTGTTATAATTTGCAATAAGTTTTACTCGATTTTTAAATTGTCTATCTTGTGTTATATACAATGTGAACATTTTAGTTGCTACTTCTGAGGATTCTCCAGTTGCTATGAAATTAAAGAAAATGTGGCTAAAAACACCTGTAAGTGAAGAGCAAGCTGCACAAGCAGTTTTGGACCCAGCAATTGGTTAGTACTAATATAAATATATTATTGAAAATATTCAAATTATAAGTTATAGAAGTATTACTTTTAAATGGGGCCGATGCAAGTTAACATACATCTTAATAACACACACTCAATCAATATAAATATTTTCAGTGCTTTAATTCAACATATATTTTTAAAATTGATGTGTCAAAGTCATTAATAATATGCCACGATTGCATTAAGAACCATATATGATAAATAATGTAGTGGACATGTTCATACATATGATATATACATACCATTAAAGTAAAATTAAACTGAAACATAAAATTACTAAATATTTCAATCGTTTTGAGCATGAAAATATTAAAAAATAAACTCATAATAAATGCCTATCCTCAAAAAAGATATTCAATGTATAAAAATGATCATACTAGTTGGGTTTGTTCAAATTAAGAATTGATTATTCTTAATTTGAACAAACAAATTGAAATTGATTATACGTGTGAGTGAAAATGTTTTACTATTCGTATTTGTTACAATAAGAAATTATTTTATAGCTGCTTTAGATGAAGATCATTTGATGAATAATTCAAGTTCCAATGTGGGTGGTGGAGGATCAGAACGTGTGAGTGAAAATGCTTTACTAACACCCAAACAAAGACTGAGAGCAAAACACAGGGAATTATTTTTATCTCGACAAGTGGAAACTTTACCTGCAACTCATATTCGAGGAAAATGTAGTGTCACATTACTTAACGAGACTGAAGCATTGACCAGTTACTTGAATAAAGAGGTAAATGCAATTAAAACATTGATCAAATGATTCTATGTGTGATTTAATAAGAGTAATTTTGTTTCCAAAAGTTTTATTTTCTATCAAAATGATTTTAGAACTAAAATACCATGAATTAAACATGAAAATTTGTCTTAATTTTATGAGATAAGATTAAATTATAATTATAGATATAGTATATAATAAATTAAATAATTCTAATTAAAGAAATTATTTTTAGGATGCATTTTTCTATTGTCTAGTATTTGATCCTACACAGAAAACACTTCTAGCTGATAAAGGTGAAATTCGTGTGGGTAGTAGATACCAAACTGAAATAATTCCTTTACTGCAGGTAAATTAAACATATTCAAATATATATATATATATATATATATATATATATATATATATATATACATACATACATACATACATACATACTGATTATTAAATATGCAGCCTGGTGAGAAAGATCCACGAGATTCTGAAGTCACTGAACAACTTGTATGGACACCAAGACATCAACTTACAGATAGGCAAATAGATCAATTTCTGGTTGTCTCAAGATCTGTTGGAACTTTTGCACGAGCTTTAGATTGTAGCAGTTCTGTTAAACAACCATCATTACACATGAGTGCAGCAGCTGCTAGTAGAGATATAACATTGGTAAGAATTATGTTCAAATTATACATAGTGAGTTTATATAGAATACATTTGAATGGATTTGGATATATTTGGATTTTTATATCTAATGTTATTTTTTTATTTGTCTGTACACATCTTGAATAATGCAATATTTGCAATAGCATTTGCATATAGTTGCAATATTTTTATTTTGTAAATGATCAATTATTATAGTTTGAGCATAAAAACACATTGTGATTTCAAAAGGTATTGATTCTCTCTAATGAGAAGAAATAGAACCTTTTCTTGTATTTTTTTTTAACCAAGGTCAATTTATTTAAAGGATTTATGTATGAAATTTTTGTATTATATTTTTCATAATATTATGTTTGACTTTTGTGATTATTTTTAGTTTCACGCAATGGATACACTACATCAGCACCAATACAGATTGGATGCTGCAATTGGATCACTGGTCCCATCATCCGGTCCAGTTTTGTGCCGAGATGAAATGGAGGAATGGAGTGCTTCTGAAGCAAACTTATTTGAAGAGGCTTTAGAAAAATATGGCAAAGATTTCAATGACATTAGAACAGACTTTGTGAGTATGATATCGTTCATTTTTAAATTAAATTTGATAATTTAAAACACATTAAATATTATGTTACTATATTGTTCCCATTCTATACAATATTCTCTATTCCGTATTATTAGTTCTAAATAAAACTAATACAATATGAAAATAAAAAAATGTTGACATATATTTGTAAAGTTATAATTATTATTAATAAATTATAAGAATATAATTTTAATATACTTTTATAAATTTTTAGTTACCATGGAAAACATTAAAAAATATCATAGAATACTATTATATGTGGAAAACAACCGATAGATATGTGCAGCAAAAACGAGTGAAGGCTGTTGAAGCAGAATCAAAATTAAAACAAGTCTACATTCCAAATTAGTGAGTGAAGTAATATATCAGAATTGATTTTTAATTTATTAACATCAAAATATAAAATTACTATATTTTTAAAAACAATATTGTGAAAATAACACTTTTTAACTAACATTTTGAGAAGCTTTTTGAAGACTAAAATAATTTTAGAAAAACATATAATACAAAATTTATAGTTAAAAAATAGGTTTTCAGTAAGACTCTTATTTCAGTTCCAATGGAAGTACAGATCCTGTAGCACCATCAGGGAAAAATTGTGAAAGTTGTGGAGGTAAGTTTTGATCTAATTGCAAGAACAATATGTATAATTAATAATTTAAAAATAATAATACATTTTTGTTCAGTCACTTCATCCCCTCAATGGTATCAGTGGGGCCCAGGGCACATGCAATGTAGGCTATGCAACAGTTGTTGGCAATATTGGAAAAAATATGGAGGGCTCAAAAATCCTGCTCGAATACTAGAAAATGAACAAGATATTGCAAATGCTGTTAAGAAAAGAACAGGTAATGTAAAACCTTGAAATTTATAAATATTTGTCTATATAATCGATATTTTACTAGGAACAGTTTTATGTTAGATTAATCTTGTTTGGTGTTTATTGTTGAATAGTTTTATCCCTTATTCTATTCATGTTTTGAAATTAATCAATTTTTCAGTTTGGATAAACATAATATTGTTTAATAAATATTAAACTTAATCTTCATTGCATTTGCAGATTTAGAGCTTACAGTTTTGAGTGGCACAGGAGATATAACTGATATTCAAGATGCAGAACGACTTTTGCAAAATAGCGGACAACTAGGTTCTGGTGGAGTTGCCACCGGTGTAGGTGGCGCAACACATCGTCCACATAGGTGCACAGTTGCTGGGTGTGGAAAGGTATTTATTAAACATAGAATTTCTAGAGAAAAGAACTAATATTTTATTTACTTTTATTTATTATTAATATATTTGTATAGGAATTCAAATTACGAGCACATTTAGCTAGACATTATGCAACAGTGCACTGTGTGGCTATGAGGTCGGGTAGTCCCAGGCCTGTTATGAAAACACGAACAGCATTTTATTTACATGCAACAGCCATAACTAGAGCATCAAGAATATTGTGCAGACATTTAGTAAAAGCGAGACATGCTGCAAGAGCACCATTCTACCCAATAAATGCAGCAGCAGTAAAACAAGAATGTTAGTATGCAATTTTTTTTTATATTTAGTTTTTATATAAAATTAACTATTTATAATATTTATGAATAATTAATAACTATTGTCTTTGTTACAGGTGCGTTAGCCATGGCTGGAAGAACATTACCAGAATTAAAACAACTTCTCGTATACCGCAAAAAAGATCGGGGAAGCGTGACGCAAATTGCCAATAGATTAGGCAATCCTGGTACAACTGTTGCTGACTGGCTTATACTTACATTAAAAGAAGTAAGGATATGAAGTGAATTTACTTTGAATTTGAATATAAAAATATTTTGTATTGTTTATTTTTTAGAATATGCCAAAACCAGAAAAAGTATCTTTCCCAAAACCACCAATTGCTGCTGATGGTTCATTGATGTACGAAAGGGTGCCCAATAAATCAGATCTTATTGAAAAGACACCAATAAATTGTGTAGTGCCACCTACAACTGTGAAACGTAGGTTTGACGAAGTCAATGGTTTAGAACGTAAGGACATGTTTCAAATCTCCTTCACAATATTTAGGATCAGCAGTAAATAATACAAATTATATAAACTTTTTAGCGGCAGCAGTTGCAGCGCCGCCAGCAAAAAGACCAAACAAAGACCCTATGCCTCAACACAGGCCAAGTCCGGAACAATATGCAGCTATGCTTGCAGCAGCTCAGGCAACAGGCCAACCACTTCCACGACATATACATCACGTAAGTTACCAAGATGTATTAAAATATGCTTAAATTTCGAAATAGTCATTTCTCTCTATATCAGTGTGCTGGTCAAATAAAATATTTTTATTTTGAATGAGATTTTCTCAGTTATTCAATGTTGAATGAAAATTGTGCTTTTTATCAATCTTGACCAGTTAAAATATTGTTTATGATAGAATGACAATCGAACAAGCATAGTTGAAAATTTTTTCTAACATTCAGTTTAATGGTAAGCCGAAGATAGCTCAGCTCAGTCGTAGTGGGTCTGGACGTAAACAAGTTATAAGTTGGATGGATGCACCAGATGACGTATATTTTCGAGCCACTGAAACTAGCAAGTAAGTTGATATATCTTTTTTATATCCTAATGTTTAATATATAAATGATTTTTTTCCAAAAATCAGTAATACAGAATTACAAGTGACCTGACATATGAGTGTTTCGATATATGGCGGCTCAAGCGGTTTGTTGCTTTGAGCGAGTAATAATTTCATAGCTATTCTAAATTGTTAATGGCAAAATGAAAATATGAAAAATTTTGTCGGTCGTGACGACGGTTTTCCTACTAAAAAAAATATTTTGGCTGTTCCATGATAGTAAATTAATCTTTCAATTATTTTAATTAGTTAGTCTTTCAATTATTCATTAATAATATATTAATTATATTAATCATGTAGTAATACTCACGCGAATATATCGAGAATAATTTAGAATATTAACTATATATTAATAATGTTTGTGCAGTTAGATATGTTAAGTTCATGTTTGTTGATATTTCGTACATTTACAAAATAATATTTATTTCTATAACTATGGGTTCAAAGAAAACTAAACACTAAAGGTCTTACAATAATTGAGCCGCTCAGTGCACACATCGACTAACTCCATTTTTTGAAAAAACTGAGATATTAGTGCGAAAGTACTCAGTGTAGTCATAACTGTTAGTGATACTAATGACTTCGGAATAATTAAAATTAACACTGTGAAACATAATTTTTTTTTGACCTCTGAATAATAAGTCATTTATTTCAGAAGACATTTTGATTAACTCCATTTTGTAGTGCATATGTTCCGGCTGGACCGGTTTTCGGGTTTCATGAATCACAAATAAGAATTTGATAAAAACATAAACCCCAAGATTGTTTGGCAAAAAACTGTAGAGTCTCAAGGATGTTACAAACTTACATACTAAAATTCGTGTACCCGGCAAAACAGAAATATTAAAACTGTCTTAAGTTTATTGAAACTTGTTTAAAATACGGAAATAAGAGCTAAGTCAATTGAAATGAAATTTCTGGTCAGTGGAAATAGCTATTTACCTATTGACTCTAGATTATTGAGTCACGTGCAAAAAAAATCGAGACATTTTTTCACTAGATAATTGGTACAATATAATAAAAACATGTAAAAGGAAAGCGCCATTTTAGCTAATCCAAATATCCCACGAAGATTTTTTATCAACAAAACCATTAGAACAATCACTAACAGAAAAGTAACCATTACAGAGTGTCCAGTAAATTTATAAAGTTAGAAATCTTATATAAGCCAATCTTATATAATTTAAATATGTCTATAATGAAGATACGTATTTTAAAGCTATTAATATAAGAAAGTGTGTACCAGGTTGGCCAAAATGTTTGAATAATATACAATAGTCATTATTATATTATAAGGCTAGAACTTTGAAAAAGGAAAAATTGAGAGACATAAAGGACTTGCTAAAATTCATTCCCCCCACTACGAAAAATTGACAGAAATTATTCTAATCATAATAGAATACAGCTGATAGAGAAAATTACTGATTTATCACAAATAATATATTGCAACAGTTAACATTCATTTTTATGAAAATGCTTTAACACATATAAATATAAGAATTAGGTTTATTATTTTTTTTCAGTTGACAACTTGATTAACTCCACAAGTCATATCAAATCTTTAACTTGAATTATAATTATTTACTCACTATTTACTGTAATTAACCTTATATAACGTCACATGTAAGCTATATATGTATTTATACGTTCTACATTATATTTTCCAACTTATATTATTACAGGAATTTTTAAAAGCAATGTGCATTACTTCATCGCTTTTCTCCACTTTCTGTTTTTTGGAGTTAGTCGATGTGTGCACTGAACGGCTCAATTTATAAGCAACTTTCTGAGCTCTAAAATTTTGCAGATAAAGATTTCCCAAAAAAGAAAATTTATTTTTAATATTCAAAAAACTTCACAAATTCCACAGTGTTGGACAAATTAATGACATTTCAATGTATTTGTTGGAAAAAATTGCTTCATTATACGAGCGATTTAACCACCACTGTACCTTCATGTTTAAATTATGAAAAACATATTCTTAGTGAATTATGATAAGGAATTAAAGCAATTTTTTGAAAAATCATAAAATATTTGTGGAAATCCTACAGACATTTGCCATATTTGTTTAATCTGGTAATATATAATAATAACAAAACTGCTATTTTTTACTACTATACCACATTGAAATTACTAAGAATTGAATTAAATCAAAATTAAATCATGTAATTAAATTGTGATTTGTGAATGTAATTGCAATTGTGCAAAATGATTGATTTATTATTTTATCAATTAAGATTGACATATAATTATTTTTTTAATCAGAAGGGCGAGGCGATCCTTATCTTCCACTGAATTACGGCGAGCGGCCCGAAAACCGTGGCGAAATTTACCAATTCGACCAATGACTGATACACAGTTGGTAATATTAGACTGACATGAGGCTCCCAGACCTTACACAATGGAGGCTTTGCTCGGATGAACATGTGACTTGAATATTGTCACATTGTTTCATATTCATTGTACTATTGTATAAATTATTTGTGGTTGTGCTACAAGGCATTGCAGTGGTTATGTAATATAGACTCAAAGAGCCTTCTATTGCCAATATTCCCCTTATCTGACATGCACAACATAATGGACTGTAATCGCGCGTTGTGCATTTTTAAAACTCTCCTAGATATATTTTTACTTTTTATAAATAGAAATATGCTTAAATATATAACATTATTATTTAATGATTTAATTAGTGTATTTCATAGTGTAGAGAACGGTAATCAATTTTAATTAATTTATTCTATTAAACGATAACTTGAATTTTTTAATCTAAATCAGTTGGTGTCATATATTCCAGCAAATTGTATCAATTGGATAATATTTTACAGAATTAAATCAATGTGATGTTTCAGTAAACAGTTTTAACGACCTCACCTCAAGCCCAATATTTATAAAATATATGGTTTGTCATAAAATGTAAAATGTGTACTACATTATATATCTGTGTGTTCTGTAGTAAATATTCAAATAATCTTTTATGAAATTTGAGAAGGTGATGCAATACTAAATAAGAAATTTTAACTATTTAAATTTTAATTGTTTTATTTATAAAACCATCTCATATCATGTCATAATATATAGTTTTATAAAATAGAGTAATCTGTTGTAAGCATTGACTATTGAATTTTATTTTATACTCACTGAAAATTACATTGAAATGTGTAAATTATGATTTCTGAGATACATGTAATTTATTTAATTAATTAAGTCAATAGTTTTGGCACATAATATTTTATTGTAATTAAATAAAAGATTCCAATATTATTCTTATTTCATTTATGATGAGCCAATTATGCATGAAATAGTGATTCATGATAGTATATTTGATTACAAATTCAATGTAAAGAAAAATTAGTGTTGCTTCTGATGTTACCAATATTATTAAAAACTACAAACTACTGTATTTTAAGCTATTGTTTTGATACGTAACATAAATTGCAATTCATGAATATGAATTTCTGAAGAATTTTAGTATGGTTTGTTGGTACTGGCTTGGTCATAAAAATTACGACAATATATAAAGTCATCTAGGTAATCTTGATAATCATTTATTAAACATTGCGATGACCTATTGCCAATACCTCGTGAAGGGGATACGTTTATCATTTATTCTTTGTGTCGACGCTTAAATAAGTGTAAAAAAACAACACTCATTGTTAATATTTAAATTATCAGACAAAAAATAGTTGCAAGCAGTTTAAATGACTATGAGTATATTTCTACATAAATATCCAGAGCAGCCAGAAGTATACCAAGGGTAGTTCGGACATATTTTTATTTGCTGTTTCTCATTCATTACATTAGCAAAAACTTATAAAAATATTAATATTTTAAATATATTTATAGTTCCAAGTCCTGTTCTTTTCAGGAATAATTTTGAAAATTGATTTACTTGATCAAAGTGTTAAGTTCAAGTTTCAAAATCGTGAGACTCTTTTCTCAATAAAGTATTTCTACTATTGTGTATGTTTAAAATATATATTTGAATATATTTGCGTTCCAGTATGCGATTTTAATCATTATTATGTCATTCAAATTAATTTTGCTTGTAATAAAAATCAGAGACTTGAGAAAACTTAGTAGTGGACGATAGATAACAGTAGAGAAACGAGAAAAAAAAATTAATTTCTATTCATTTATAAAATATTTCTGAAACAGTATGGAGTATAATTATATACTTTGTAATATCAAAATTATAAAATTGAAAATGCATTTTATTCTTAAATTTCCTTGCCACGCCCCGTCGTTACAACGGGTACTTCATAATCTTTATTATACCATATAGTAGAACTACCAGAATATGATATTTATTAGAATAGTATATTTATGTATAAAATTAAAATTTATTTGCTTGAAGTAGAAATTTGGACATGAATAAAATATGAAAAAACATTGAATATTTTTATTGAAATTTAGTGTAAATTTAAATTTCCGCTCTCGTAACCTTTTCAAGGTCAAACGATCAAAAATCTTATCTGTTCCATCTGGCAATACAATACACGGCGTAATGTTGTGCAGCCTTTAACAGTTTGACAGTTCGATTTCGTGCTTCGTAAATTGTGTGTTCTTTTATAATACATGTGTGCTGTCTTTATTGCATAGTTTTAAGTGCAAATTATAATACTAGTGTCGAAAAAGTGGGAAAATAGAGGTACGTTCAATCAAAATTCATTTATTATTAGTGTAAATGAAATAGAAATATTCTTAGAGGCGTATTCATGTGCCCATAATACGAGATCTTGGGTGTGCTTGAAGCCGAATATAAGATTTGTAACGAAATACTTTATTTGTTTTAAATAATTTGAATACAATGTTGTTAGTGAAGGGATAATGAAATATTTATTTACTCTTATTAATCATGATATTAACTATATGCGCAAACCCTTTCGCTTGTAAGGAAATTTGTACAGGGCGCATATGCATAGGGTATATAGTTTTAAATATGAGCTTCTTGGTGTGCTTCTGGTTTAAGTATTGATTTTTCTCCGGTTTGATATTGGGGCGTATTATTACAGAACGCATTATACAGATAATAAATTTTTTTGGGAAATCCTAAACATTTTGCCCAAAAATAATTCATGATTTGTTTTGATACATACATTTTTTTTTGCATGATTGAAAAAAAAATTTATATTTTAATTAAAAAGTGTTCTATATTTTTAACATCACATGCTATCAAATCAAAATACATTTGATAATATATTGACAAATTCAATGTAACTTGAAATAAATAATATATTACGATTTCAATTTTCTGAACTAACAAGTCATTTCCTAAAAAATATTTATTTCTATCCACAAAATTTTCATTTATGAATATTTCTACGTTTGATAGGATATGGGATGCCCCTTTCTTCAACTTTAAAAAACTTTTTTTTAAAATTAGACACTCACTAAAAATCAAATAATGCATTCATTAAAAATTTTAACTGAAAATATTTCGAGCATCAAAATAACTATAAATATTTACTCGTCGATAACATTCCTTTTGTGCACAATTATCGTTAATTTCAATATAAGCATTGATTAATTTTTTGCTATATTGGATAACTTCTGTCATCTACAAATACTACATTAAAAATTCAAATATTCGATTTTGATGGAGAAGTTTTAATCTTGAAAGTTTGAAGTTTGTTACATATAAAGTTACTATTTAGAAAGGTGATTGGTTTATCAAACT